GCTCTCGGAATTCACTGACTTCTCCCAGGACAAGGATTACAACGACAACCTGACTTTTTATTTAGTCTTGTCCTTGGCAGTAGTTTCCTTTCTTTTCGTCGTTTCTATCATCGTTCTGTTATCAGTGAAAATCTATCGGTGGAGACAATCTCGTTTGTTCTACCAATCCAATGGGAATCTCCCAGTTATTCCAAGCGCTTATTATCCTCCCCGTTACGCTGACGTTGGTGCTACAGGAACTCTACAGCACGTGTACAATTACGAGGTGTGTTTGACAACAGACTCTGGGAAAAGTGAATACAGATTCATCCGACCAAGCAGTCAAAATCTTAACGCTGATGCCAGCGGGTCAGTGACTCTGCCGCATGTGCAGAAGGAGAAGAATCTCATAGATGACACAGATTCAGTAGAGGTGAGTGTTCCCTGAAAGATTCAGGAAATCTACCAATTTCAGCAATTCATTTAATTGATTAAACTAAAGCTTTACATTATGTTTGTATTGATGATGTTATTCCAAAAGGCAAGACAGCACAGTAGTTTGCGCTGCCTCTTTGTTTTTGAGTTAGATTCCTGAATTTATCGCTTTTAAGTGCGTTTTTCCATGGGGTCCTATTGAATTTTCTTTGGGTCAGCAGTGTCCTGCCACATTCAAAGACATCTCCAATGCTGTTTCAGAATCGTCCCAGTTTTTTGTGTCTGTGTGTGTCCTACTATGGACTGGCTTCTCAGTTTGATGTTCAGCTATAAATCACTTACCTCCGAAAAAAGATCGGATCCACCCTTGCAAGCAAGCAGTGGCTTTCTCATAAGGGATTGTTGTTAATACTTTTTTTAAGTAGAAGTAATATATTTTTACTTAAAGTTCTATAAAGTTGTACCATTTCAAATCGGTTTGAATTTAAGTTTGGTTTTAATTGGTTTTCAAAACAAGATATGTATAAATTCCTCCTGTGATGACTCTTTCTAATACAGTTATCCGATGGCTTAAATGGTCTATTTTTATTTGGTATGACATAATAATTTGAAACGTTTAGCGTCTAGTTCCATCGACTTCAGTTCAGGCATATACCCGTGAATATTATGTTCTTTTAGTGCGTCTTGTTCTAAGGCAAAATGCACAGTAGGCTACGTCTTAATGTTTTACAGTAGATGCAGAGCTAGCAATATTAATGTAGCTTATTATATATTTCCTTTATAGAATAAAACAAATACAGTAAAAATGCACACATGTTCTTACGTATCACTCTGAATACATTCCAATGATTCCAATAATATCTAAGGTATTAGTGAAATTAGAATATTTTGAACTTTCTGTTTTAACAATAATAATAATAATTAAAATAATAATAATAATTGCTTACACTTATATAGCGCTTTCTGGACACTCCACTCAAAGCGCTTTACAGGTAATGGGGA